GGTTTCTGCAGAAGTCCTGGGGCAGAGCAGCTTGCACAATGTTAACTGGTAGGAAAGGTAGGGGAAGGAATAGTGGCTGTTGGGGAGTAGCAGTAGTCAGATGGAGAAAGCTAAGCAAATTTGGGGAAAAAGGGAGGGTTAAATATGCAAAGGAGTGAGGAATCTGCTGGGCATCTGACACTCATCCCTTCCCTTTCCTTACACTCTTATCCTTTCTCCAGCTCCAATTGCCACGCATCGGATCCCCTCCCCCACCACTTTTCCTGCCCACAGATCCCCCAATGGTCTGGCTCCTAGCCAAATGCTGGGTCCGTAGCTCTGACTTCCAGCTTCATGAGCTGCACTCTCATCTTCTGAGGGGACATTTGATGGCTGAAGTTATTGCTGTAGCCACCATGAGGTGCCTTCCATCGATACATCCTATCTTCAAGGTAACACATTATCCCCTTCTCTCCTGTCTGCCCATCTCTTCGCCCCATGGCACAGTCCCACCTCTGGAGGCACCCTCTCTGTGGAATTTCAGGGTGTAGGGAGAGCCAACCAATGAAAGACAAGTGAGAAAGGCAGTGAAAGTATGGCTTGCTCTGCATTTTCAACAGGTGACATCACCTCCCAAAAAAAGTGAAAATGATTCATTGGCAAGGTGGGGGTGGGAGGGATGAGTGGTGGGGGATGAGAAGTCTTACTTTTTTTATGTATAAAGTGCAGATAGATAGACATACAGTATATAAACACTACACACAAATGACTGAGGATTCTATCAAAAAAGAGGGACCATGCAAATAAAAGATTTTTCCAGCTAGTTTTGAAGGGTTCTAAAATAGTAACACATAGGCCAGTTGGAGGGGCTCAGGTCAACAGCAATAGCCTGTTTTTGTTTGTTTGTTTGGTTGTTTCAGACAATTAGAATAGAGTATTCACCCTTCAACTTTTTTCTTGAGTGCCTCCTATGGGGCAAGAACCATTCTAGATGCCAGTGCTAAGCAAAACAAGCAAAATTCTGATCTTTGCGGGATATTCATTTCAGTTTAGGGCTAGCAGACAATAAAGACTATGTTGTAACACATCAGCTGTGATAAGCACAATGCAGAGGATCAAAGCAGGATGATGTGATGGTGAGTTTAGATTGGTCAGGAAAAGCTCCCTTGAGCAGATGACATTGAGAGTAAGAATACGAGGAGCCAGCCATAAAATGATCAAGGGGCACATTGTTCTAGGTAGAGGGAACAGCTAATGCAAAGGTTCTGAGGTTGGCACAAGCTTGGCATTTTGAAGAACAGAAAGAAATTGAACGTAATGGACAAAAGGGAGAGAGTAGGAGATGAAGTTCCAAAGGTAGGCAGGTTAGAGCATTCTCAATGGAAACAATTATGCTCCCCAAGGAGGTGAAAGTGGCTCTTGGGAGGGGCAAAAGCTTATAATTTTAATGTATAAAGTACATATATACATACACTATATAATAGATATAGTATATCTGTAGCATTAAAATTTCACGGGGGTGAAAGTGGGAAAAACTGTCAAAAAGGCTCTTTAGAGTAGAGTGGTACTGAAAAAAACGTTGAAAACACTGAGCTAGAACTTGAACAGTTTTGAAAAGAAAAGAATGATTTCTTTCAATTATCATAGAGCAATAAGTCAATGGGTTGTGGAACGCCACAAATTACAAATCAACTGAACACACTTGATGTCCAGGGGCCACTGCACTTCACATCTCTGCTTTTCTTGAAGACCTGGTACCTTTCTCACTCCTCAACCCCAGTATCCTGCAGGGACTGGCCACAGCTATCTTCTGACTTTGCCCTTCTCTGCTGTCTCCTTCCAGCTGATGATCCCCCACCTGCGATATACCATGGAAATTAACGTGCGGGCCAGGTCTGGGCTGATTTCTCCCATGGGTATTTTCGACCAGGTATGAAGAGAGGAGAGGGATTCTAGAGTTCATGCTTTGGCCTCAGCAGGTGGATTTGCCTGACCCTGCCCATTCTTGCAACTCAGGTGGTGAGCACCGGTGGGGGAGGCCACCTGGAGTTACTCAAGCGAGCGGGAGCCTTTCTAACCTATAGATCATTTTGTCCCCCTGATGACCTGGCTGACCGGGGACTCCTGGGAGTCAAGTCTTCTTTCTATGCCCACGATGCCCTGAGGCTCTGGGAAATCATCTCTCGGTGAGGAAAGGGAAAGGCAGGGCTGCTGGGGGTCAGTGAAGAGGAGGAGGCTAGGAGAACTGGAGGTCTGTGTCTTGGTTGCGGGGCTGGGGACCTTCACCTGGTTATGTGGGTGGAGGACCTTGAGGCTCTCTGTCAGCTTCAACTCTCTTGACCCAACCCCTTGGCTGACAGCTATGTAGAAGGAATTGTGAATCTTTACTATAAGACGGATGAGGCTGTGAAAGAGGATCTAGAGCTGCAAACCTGGTGTCGAGAGATCACTGAAATTGGACTGCAAGGGGCCCAGGACCTAGGTAAGTTGAGCCCCTGCCCTCAGGCCTCCAACCTGAGAGATTCCTCCTTGGAATCTCCCCAGAATCCTCCCTACACCTATGGAAACTTCCAGAAGCATGTCTGACCTCTATGACAATGCCCAAAGGCCTTCTCAGATTCTTTTTCCTCTCAGAGACAGATCCCCATCCTATGCATTAAGAACTCCTCTAGGTCCCAGATGCATGCAGTGGGACCAGTGGTTACCCATAAATTTTTAACATCTGGATCGCTGGGGGAAAAAGCCCTGATTTGTAGCACTCATCCATTTTTATATTGTAAATATTTCCACTGTGGCTACCAATGTGATGTCAACCAGCTTGCTAAATTCCTGAACATTTAGTGTAACTGACTCTTGTGAGCCAGTATGAGCCATACCAGTGCCCCACCGAGTGGAGCCCTCCCAGCAGGTCTCCCCATTTCCCCCATTACAACCTGCACTCACATCAGTTCCCACAATAGTTCTTGATAATCCTTGGTACCCCATCTCCCCTCTCTTGTTCTCCTCACTTGGCCTCATTTCTTTGAGCTCTGCTTCTATTCCTGGCCTCACAGCTTCTAAGTCTCCTTATCCCTTGTAGGATTTCCCATTTCCTTACAGTCCCGGGACCAGCTTTGCCACTTTGTCACCATGTGCATCTTCACCTGCACTGGCCAGCACTCCTCCACACACCAGGGCCAGGTACTTATCATAGGGGAGCAGCTGAGTATTTGCACCTGGAGTAGGGGAGGCAGTTGTGTGCAGGTGGCTAAGGGGTTTTTATGCTTAGCAGACATTGATTCTAGATATCTGCCTCTCCTTAGCTGGATTGGCACTCTTGGGTCCCTAACACACCCTGCACAATGCGGCTGCCCCCGCCGACCACCAAGGATGCGACACTGGAGACGGTGATGGCAACATTGCCCAACTTTCATCAGGCTTCTCTCCAGATGTCCATCGTTTGGCAACTGGGTAGACGCCAGCCCATTATGGTGAGAGCCAGGTGCTTAGGTCCCTGAGAAAGGGGCAGCTGTGGGGAAGTGTCGCACACCAAACTAGGGGTCATAAGGCTCTCAGCTGCTTTTTTCTTTCCATCTCAGGTGGCTGTGGGCCAGCATGAGGAGGAGTATTTTTCGGGCCCTGAGCCCAAAACTGTGCTGAAGAAGTTCAGGGAGGAGCTGGCTGCCCTGGATAAGGAAATTGAGATCCGGAATGCAAAGCTGGACATGCCCTATGAGTACCTGCGGCCCAGCCTGGTGGAAAACAGCGTGGCCATATGAGCATCCCCAGCCTTTGGTTGTTTTAGCCCCTACTTCCACCCAAGCCATGACTCCATTGCTTTCAGTCTTACCCTTCACCAACTATCTGTATGCCCCTTCCTATCTGTACCTTTCCTAAAGTGTCACCTTTATATTGTATATGCCCACAGTGAACAAATTTTACTTTAGATGTACTGCCTAGGGTCCTTGTTTCCCTTTAATTTCTCCTTTTCTTCCCATTCTTCTGCCTTCCTCCATTATCACTGGGATCTCCCACAGGGCACAAAATTGTCACATTAATATAAACTGTTTCAAGACTAGACTAGGGTAATAATATATATTACTCCATGTTTTTTATAATTTTGAAACTGCTCTGAGTTTAAAAACAAAAAGATATTTTAGACTAATGAAAGGAACTCAGATCAAAGGATCCTAAATCAAACACTGGCAAAAGAATGTAGCACATCTTTTTTATCTAGATGGGATTTAGCCACATGTCCTGAAGCCAGGAACAACACAGAGCAAACCATTAACACAGCATTTTTCAAGATTTTCACTTTGTGGCTCTCTTAGAAAAAGATAAATTCTCACATTTCTCCCACCCCCAGTCCTGGCAAGCACAATCTACTCTCTGATTCTGAGTTTGACTATTTGGCTAGTTTGACTAGTTTGAGTACAAATCATGCAGTATTTGTCTTTCTGTGTCTGGCTTATTTCACTTAGCATAATATCCTCCAGGTTCATCCATGTTGTCACAAATGGCAGGATTTCCTTCTTTTTAAAGTCTGAATAATATTCCACTGTCCATATACACCATATTTTCTTTATCCATTCACCACTCGCAGACATTTAGGTTGTTTCCATATCTTGGCTATTGTGAATAATGCTGCGATGAACATGGGAGTGCAGCTATCTCTTTGAGTTCCAGGTTTGAGGTCCTTTGGATATATACTCATAAGTGGAATTACTGGGTCATATGGTAATTCCATTTTTAATTTTTCAAAGAACCCCCGTACTGTTTTCATAGTGGCTGCAACAATTTACATTCTCACCAACTGTATACAAGGGTTCTCTTTTCTCTACATCTTCAGCATTTTTTAATCTCTTTTTGATAGATCTAATTGGTCTGTTGACCATCCATAGTTTGAGATAGTTAATGTCTTATGAACTGTGACAATCTAAATAGGATACGAGAACTATACCCTTAACTCCTAAGTGTCCAGCCCACTGTGTTTAAAAGTCTAAATATGAAAAAAGTGACAAAGTTTAAGATGCAGAGGCTATTGTTGGTGACGAGTGTTGGGGCACTGAAGAGAGCTGAGGCACCACAGATAAGACCGGATAGGCCTATTGGCCTGAAACTCCAGGAATTGAAAGTATAAGATCTATGAAAACCCAAAGAAAGATTGTTTTTAAAATAAAGATGTAGTTCTCAGTGATCATTACATGATTCAAGTAGGTCTCTAGGTAGCCATGAGCTACACAGTGCACTTTTAGCGTCATATAAAAAAAAAACCCACTAGTTATTCATGAAGCTATACACCTATGAGGCTGCCTCTGCCTGAAAAGTCTCACAAAATATAGCCAGTGATATTTTTAATCTCAGTTGCATCTTCCCAATGAACCTTGTTGCCCTTTTGTCAGGCAGAGTACTTAATGGTGGTGCTTGAGTCTCCTATATACTGCCTTTGCTAGCACTAATCCTAGCTTGGTGAATAGAGAAATCCGTTTTTCCAAGAACAAAAGCCTCCTGATTACCAAAAATCCAGTAGTTTTTAGATTGTGGTCTACAAAGAGACAGAGACACTCTTTTTTTTTTCCAGCTTTATTAAAATATAATAGGCAATAAGTTGCTCGTATTTACATTGTACAATTCAATGAGTTTTTTTCCAATTATAGTTGACATACAATAATATATTAGTTTCAGTTGTACAACATAGTGATTAGAGATCTATTGTTGTAGCCGCCAGACCACCAGAAATCAGTGAGTTATAGGAAACACACTCTTTATTCAGCCAGCTGGGTCTGTGAGGGGTACGCAGACCCCAAATTAAGCAGCCCCGAAATGTAGAGGTACAGGGTTTTTAAGCCCTAAACCCCATTCCTCATTCTATCTTAACACAAAAGTCTATTTTTCTTCTATTTACTAACTGTCAACCCACAGGTCGGTCGTGTAAGCGGGGGTGCAGAAGCAGAAAGCTTATTGTTAGAATGTTGTGTTCTCATGGATGATAACCTATGTTCCCATGGGCAACAGTTTATGTTCCCAAGGGCGATAGGCAAGCAGTAATTTTTCAGCCAGCACATTCCCCACTGGCCTCAGCAGAAAATCAAATCCTTGATTCTTTATGCGGAATTTGCTCATAGCCTCTATTTTGTAATACTAAAAGTTAAATAGAATTAATTCTCTTCCTTATATATGCAAACAAGAAATTAAGGAAACATGGGCCAAAAGTTAACAAAAGGAGGAGGATGATTAAAGGTCCAGCTACAGCAGATAGAAGAGTTGTTAGCCATGGTGACCAACTGAACTTCCTATGAAACCAGTTATTTGATTCTAGTCTTTTTTTTTCCCTGGCATCTAAATTTCTCTGTACTAGTCGTAAGCTCTCTCTGATTACTCCAGAGTTATTGGCATAGAAGCAACAGGTTTCACCTAGAGCTATACATAACCTATCTTGTTCTAAGAATAATAAATTTAAACCTCTTCTATTTTAGAGGATTACTTCTACTAGTGACTCGA